TGGAGTTGATAAATAAAAATTAGAAAGGAGGAAGTTACTTGCTGAACAAATAATAGAAATCAATTGATTTAAAATATATAAGCAAATTCGGCCAGACATGAAATTTAAGGCTAGACAATGATGAATAATAAAAGTGGATGTTTTGTTCCAAGGCACATATATGGAAATATTAAATATGTGTGAACTATAAGAGTGTTTATGCTCACAAGATTAAATACACAGTCTTCTGTATATAAGAACGGAGATAATCGAGGAATGAATAGGCCTGTGTGGATATTATGGTAGATAAGTAATTTTTAAGAGGAATTGAGAAATGTTTATGATGAGAGTTAGATGGATGGAAATGCAGATGAGGGAATTTACAATATCTTTTTTATAAATTTAGGATGTTTAGATACCTAATTAGATACACAAAATGTGGAATATAGCATGTGCAGATGCAAGTGCACACAGATATATTATTCCTGTAGTCAGAAGTTATATCATAGATAAGCTGGTATGGGAAATACCTCCCCACTGTATGTTCTGTTAGTCTTGTATGTTTTGTTAGTTTTATATGTTATTGTTTTGTAGGTATTTTGTTTTTGTCTTTGTAGGTATGTATGTTATAAAAAATAATAAAATGTTTTTTTTAAGTCCCTAGGACATCCCTGGAATTCGCATGTTTAGTGAGGGGAGGGGATTAGCATACAGATTTTGTTTCATTTTTCTCGTTTTCCAGTAGTCCTTTCTGCAAATACATGTAGACAAAAATAGCTCATAATCTAAAAGGGATAAAATGAGTTCACAAGAGGGAAAATGGGTTTACCAGTTCCTTGTTTAAAAAAAGGACAGTTCTTTAATCTGCTAAAATTCTTTCATTCCCCCTAAATACAGAAAATGTAACTTTGACCATCTTTGTAAGTGTTAGGTAATTTATGTCAGACTAAACATAGGAACAAAATGCACTTAATGAAAATTCATTTTGGACACAAGGAACTGTGGGTAACCCAAAAACAAAACACATTGTCCAAAGCAGCCCTGTGATTTTAGTGTTTGATCCATTTTATATAAGCTCCCAGCATGTTGGAAGCTCTCCTTTCAGTACCTGTTTTCTTGGAACTAAAATTTAAATTTGTGCAACTTCCTAATCTTAAATGTGATATATTTAAGTGAGATATGCTGACTCCTTCAAGTAAACTGAATTTTTAATTTGTTTTGTTTTTCTTCTGTAATAGGCCCACCAGGTCCACCAGAAGCTGTGACAATTGATGAAATCACAGATACTACAGCTCAGATATCTTGGAGACCAGGAGCTGATAACCATAGCCCCATTACAACATATGTTATTCAAGCAAGGACACCCTTTTCTGTAGGATGGCAAGCAGTTAATACAGGTAAATTAGATGCTTAACACTCACACAATACGTTCCTCTATTACCAGGTGTAGTTTCAGATGATAGGAATGTGACAAATACTTGCAAAATCAGTCTTTATTGCAAAATTGCTAGACTTCTTGAAATTTTCACCTAAGTATGAGAGAATGAGACACAAAATGCTTCTTTTTAAAAGCAACTTCTGCAATTTCCACAGTTTTTCTGTGCATAACTAGTATATTTTCCCTTTGAGATGCAAAGAGCAAGCATAGAAGAAGAAACACAAATAACCCATCCAGTGCTTCTGATGTTAAAACATTCATGCCACAAGTTGCAATAGTTCTCACTTTGCAGGGTTACACAAAAAACATTCTGGAAAATGCAGCAATTTTCATCATTAATAGAAGAAAGCATCTCATAAGCAAAGAGGAAAAATGTACAGTTTCCCATTCTGATGCAGAAGAATGAGACAAGTGAGGATTTAGGTCCCAAATGTATGAATCTGCAGACATGCTTAAAATGTACATCTATAAAGGTCCTTCAAACCTAGCAGATTGATCTCAGTGATTCATATGCACAGCCTGCTATTTTTGAGGGGTTTTATTGAATGGATAGCAATCCAAAATATACACAATAGTAGCACTGGGTATTAGTAAATATAACTTCAGAAATTCTAATAAGGAATTGATTAGCTTGTATTTCCTTGTATGCATTTCTCATCTTTGGCATCCAATATTAGCAAGGAAGGGGAGGGCAAAAAAAGAGAGGAGTCAGCTAATGGTTCAGCTATGAAGTGTGTATGGGCCCCCTCAGATCATTTTCTGCTGTACAATTTATTGTTAATTGTTGAATTACCTGCACTTTCCTCCCCCAGTGCCTGACGTCATTGATGGGAACACATTTACAGCAACGGTGGTGGGTTTAAACCCCTGGGTTGAGTATGAATTCCGGGTAGTTGCAGCCAGCCTGATTGGGATTGGAGAGCCAAGCAAACCATCAGAGAAGCGGAGAACTGAAGAGGCTCGTAAGTAGGAGTCACAAAGGAAACACTCCATTTTGCTGACAGCATCTGTTACTTAATACAGACAGTCTGCACCTAGAAGGGAAAACCAGATTTAATAAATTGAGTGAACTTTATTTTTTACGGCTTTACTAAGGGTGTATCCGTTCCTCCTTGTACTGAAGTATGAAGATTGGAGGTATGGCTAGTAGTTTCTTTTCAGGCAAGGGTAATTTTTTTTACAAATTATTATTGCCTTGATGTGCTTGTTGTGTTGATACTGTGCCCTATCTCAAAACACATTTAAAGGAGGAAAGTGTACAGATCTTGCATGCTTGTGGACATTCAACCTATGTGGATATACAACATAAATGGTTTATAATGGGGGAGGGTACATTAGGAGGTAAGGTACCCTACGTTGCATTGTCCATGAGCCAACTATGCTCTAGAAAAGCAATTTGATCAGGATAAAGCAGGAGCAAAAACATCATTTTGGTACCTTCTACAGCCATTGATTCTCCCAATGACTCAGCTCATGTATGGTAAAATTACCCAAATTCAGAGTTATTGTTGGTTTGTATCACCTAAAGCTATAATCTGAAGATTTATAGTCAGCAGTTTCATGACTATAATTAAAAGGAACCTCTTATAAGCGGAAAAAATTCAAAGCAATTTGCAACAGGTAATGTGGCTTTTAAATATGGTGTTAGTAATCTTGTTTTCAATATTGTGCATTATGTAGTCTACTGTACTTAATACATACATTGTGTATTATGTACTGTCAAAGCATCAAAAAAATCTGCTTGCAGAGTTTTATTAATATTCCTATTTTGCATTACAAGCAAGACTATGGGACTTTCCCAATTAGTTTTTAATTGCATTTCCAAAACAAAGAGATTGATTTGCTTTAAGATAGTGGGAGCAGGAAAACTAAGTTAAAATTACATCAGTCACAGCAAATAATGGAAATAATGCAGTAAAGGGCCAAACCGATTGAGGCGACTGCCTGCATTGGCCATTTACCCTGCAATTTGCATTGAATTGGACACAGATGAATTCAGATTAAAAGCCAGAGACTACACTTGTTAAACCTCAATGTGGGGAAGCCAGTTGTATATCATTGCTTTGGAGAGGGATTTTTTGTTGTTGTTCAGCTGGATGTTCAAATTTCCTTGCTGCTGTCTGCTTTCTGCCCAGTGTGACTGCCTGATCTGATGCTAATGGCTGCTCAGAAGGGTGTCAGTTCACCCTAACTGAATGTTCTTTATTTTGTTTCTTTAAAAAAAGTTTGAAGTGAATGCTGGAACAGAGAATTTCTAGGGCACTTAGGAAAAAAGACCTTCTAAAACAATGAAGTGGAGATTGCCAAGAAGTACCTTGTTTTCATCTTGCCAAAGGCAGCTTCTGCTGTTGGAAGTGTGTGTAATCACAGTTGTTTTGCCTCTGCCCCTGCTGACTCTTAAACCTGATTTGTAAATTGTGGATCACAGCAGATCAATCTGCATTTTCCCCACTGTGTAACCACAAGCTTAATAAAAGGTTAAAAACGACATTCTTGAGATAGTCAAATATGAAAAGAAATGGCTAGGAATAGCAAGTTTTGTTATTCACACATTTTCAAGTTGTTCTGAAACTCTGAAATTATGTGTGTTAAGGTCTATTCTCTGGAAAAGGCAATAATGCTGGGAAAGGTTAAAGGCAATGGAAAAAGAGGAAGACTAAATGCGAATGGATTGACTCAAAGGAACCCACAGGCTTGAATTTGCAAGAGCTGAACAGGGCTGTTGAGGACAAGGACATTTTGGTGATTTCTCATTCGTAGGGCTGCCAGAAGTCAGAGGAGGCTTGACAGCATGTAACCACGAGAACAGAATATATTCACTAATGTATATAAAAAATTCAAAGTTATTAAGATAACTTCTGTGCACCAATTTTAAGTACATAAACATACTAATAACACTGCAATAATCAATGTATTATTTGTTCTCCTTCTGCAGTTCCTGAGGTCACCCCAGCCAATGTCAGTGGAGGTGGTGGTACTAAGTCTGAATTAGTTATAACCTGGGAGGTAAGTGATGTGTGAACCCGGGGAGGGATGAACTGATAGCTCTTAAAGCCAGATGCTGTAACATATCCACTTGAAAATATTGTACCAGACAGCAAATGTGCTACAGTACTTCCAAGCTCTGTTCCTGTATAGTCTAAAATTCTTGTCTCTAGGCAAGGTGGGGCAATTCAACTGTCAATGATCAAAAGATTACTTTGAAGAAGTTAAAGCAAGAACCGAACATCCGCTTTGTCAGAATCTTTCGGTGGTAATTTTTGGCTATTAAAGCTCTCCCCACCATCATCCATAGGCTCCTACCTGTTCCAAGGGAGCCTCAGGGAGCCTGAAAGGGGTTTAAAAGGACACTTCCAATCAATTTAAATTAAAATTTACCATTGTAAAATGAAGACCTCATCTAGTATGTCTGCTGGATTTTTTTTTTAAAGCCAATTTTAATAGTCTCAGACTTGATGGCCTTGTAGGCCCCTTCCAACTTCACTTTTCTATGATTCTATGATCTCTAGTTATAAGTCTTTGTGAGGCTTGCTAGGAAGTAAACATTTTCCAGTATTTCTCTCACTGCTCAGTAAAGCTGAATTCCACTTTCCTAGAATCATTTTGTTTCACTCAGTACCTTCAACAAAAACCTGCTAGAAAATGAAAAGTATTCAGTGAAAAATGTGTTATAACAAAGATCATAATTTGAAAGCATAAGATAGAAAAGTTACTTTTAAAAAGCATATTACAGTTTTCAAAAGGAACAAAGCTACTTAAAAGAGGCATGACAGGTACATGGCAATTCACCCTTCTTGCTCAAACACATAACAAAATTCCCCTTTCCATTTAAAAATAACAATAAAAGCATTTGAGCTTATGCTAATCCAATTGACTTCATTAGAATTTAAAACGCCCTGAACGGCATTCTGAATAAGGACATCCCCTGGAATGAAACTTTTCATTCTCTTGGCTTCCTTACTGAGACGAGATAATTGCAGGATGTGCACGGGTGACCTGAATGTGATGTGACTGCTTCTGGCACCAGACAGCATTTGCCTGCTAGTCTGCATCACACTTCAACCTGGGCTCATGCTGGAGTTCACAGCATACTCAAGTAGGTCATGTCCTTTGCTTCAGTACTAACCACTTGCTATGTCTAGGACAGTAGAAACAGCACACCAGGGAGCAGAAGAGGGTCATGCGAGAGCTAGGAAGAGTCTTTGTAACCACCTTGGGCAGTGGTTTAAGAACTGTAAACACATGGCTTCACCACCACTCCAAAGAGGAATAAGGCGTTGATACAAAGATTATGATGATTGAAGAAGTCCCCCACTCCTGCCAATAAATGGGATTTGGAGAGGTGGAAGAAAGGGCTATTTCCCCAGTCGATCCTGCTGATAGAAAAACAAAGATATATATGTTCCTTTAACTTTTTTCTCTCGTTTTGATCACTGGTTCTGAATCACTTGTGCTTAATCATGTGCTCCAGGAACCAGTTCCTGCACAGTCATCCCAGGAAAGCAAATTCTTATTGAAGCCATATCAGTATAGGGGAGAAGTAAGAACAAGGTGAAATGAAGAAATTATTTTTTTTCTCAGTACTTTGTAAGCAAATCTCTGTTTAAGAGGTTGTACCAATGGAGACTAGACCAAAATGAGCTTCTCAGACCTATGGTCCAAATCACAGTTTGGGAGTGAAGAACTCTGGTATTCTCCCTTGAAAATCCCCCTTTCCATGGGAAATGAGTGAAGGCCACCTCACCCAGACTCTGCCAAATTTGATCTGATATGTCAACCCATCCTAGAGCCTTTCTCAGTTTTACGAAATCTCAGTAATTTTAGGAAATCTCAATACTTGTACATTTTCAAATTTCCCATTTCTCACCACATGCTTGAATATGAGCTGTTTCTTCTTTATAAGAGTAGTAATAGTGGAAATCAGCCAAGAAAGCAGTTTGTTTACCATTATCTTTTTGCCTGAGCACAAAGTGACAAAGAAGAGGGTTGTGAACACTCTAGACCAGTCTATAGATTCCCCCAAACAACCTGGAGTAGAAACAGACACTATAGACTTCCTATGATTAGAATAGTAGAATCCTGGCCTCCTTAAAAAATCCAAAGAGCATCCAGAATAGTGGTAGCTCTTCTTCCCACACATAGTTTTGTAAATTATTTTGTGTTTGTTTTTTGGGAGAACAAGATTCCTTTGAATTCTGGATTATGTCTCTCGAACAATAAGAGCCTTTCAGCTCTAATCATGAACTATCTATAATGTCTTTTTCAACCCTAAGAATGCATTTAATGGGTTCCCATAGTGTTGGTTGCATACCATGGTACAATAATTATAATGGTCAGAGATGGATGGATGGATGGATGGATGGATGGATGGATGGATGGATAAAACCTTTATTGGCATAAGTAAAAACTGGACATAGTCACGGTGGTTTGTTAGGTAACTACATATATAGGCAATCAAGAGGGCAGAAAAGATAGATAGATAGATAGATAGATAGATAGAACCTTTATTGGCATAAGTGAAAACTGGACATAGTCACGGTGATTTGTTAGGTAACTACATATATAGGCATCAAGAGGGCAGAAAAGTGTTAGACATCCTTAAAGGGACAATGGTTAGTCTCCTAACAATAGTATCAAGGAAGCCTGTGACTCTACAATGTCAGTCATCTCAGCTGTCAGCATATAGTGAACTTTATCCAGATCTGACCTCCCTTCCAGCTTTAATAAAATTGGGACTATTAACCTTGATCAAGTGAACCGAGCAGTACAAAAACATATGAACAAGGGTTTCCACCCCACCCCCCTGTTCACATGGGCAGTGCCTTTTAGAATAGGGAACTTACCAGTTACATTCTTACCAATTAGGAAAATCAAGCACTGGGTCTTCTAGTGATGCTGTCTTCTAAAAATCAGAAATCTTTTCTGAACTCTGTGAAGGAGTGTTTTAGAAAATCCTTTTAATGCCTGTGGGCCACACTGCATCCCCATTCCCTTTCCCTAAGTTGTGAAAGATGTTTGAAACGGAGATACCAGGATGTTTCTTGTAGAACTCTCATTCCTGTATATGACTCAGAGCTAAAAAAAGGAACACACACAACTTACCTCTTCAGGAGAGGGAATTGGTGTAACAAAAGCAGAAAGCAATGCTCTAACGTTATAAGAGATTGAGAGGGAAAGGGTAGTACTGTAATATGATGTACTTTCAGTTGAAAGTACCTTTGCCAGAGTAAGGTGGACTATGGCTCCACTAATTGCTCAGATACCAATTTACGTTTTTGACAGTTTGTTCTACAGAATACATCAGGCTGTTTCCTTGTTTCTTTTCTTGTTATAGACAGTACCTGAAGAGCTACAAAATGGAGGTGGGTTTGGTTATGTGGTTGCGTTCCGTCCACTTGGTACAATTAGTTGGATGCAGACCGTAGTGGCTTCTCCTGATGCTTCCAAGTATGTGTTTCGGAATGAGAGTCTACCACCATTTTCACCATACGAGGTCAAAGTGGGTGTTTACAACAACAAAGGAGAAGGCACATTCAGCCCCGTCACAGTGGTTTATTCAGCAGATGAAGGTAACAGCCTGGCCTGAAAACAGCCTAGCGATCCCACATTTGTGCTAGGCTGGCTGTTTCTAAAACAAACTTGTATCTATATTATAATCAGCACATTCCACTGACATCTGTGACTGATTTGTAATAAATGGCATGCACCCAGTCTTAAGAAGAATTCAATCTCTTTTAAATGCATAACAATCATGATGATAGTCTCTTTGATTTAGTGTGTACACAGAATAGCAAGAGCATTCATTTAAAGAACACATTATGTTAAGCTGCTGAAGAAGACCTTTTGAGTCAAAACATTTTCACAAATTGAAATTTTAATTTCTGATTTTGATGCTTAATGGCACTGTGTGAGCTCTATTAAGTTTGGCAATATGCCCAGCAGTGTGTTTGTATAGTGCGTTTAAATCTGTTCAAGAGGTTGTGCGACAATTGAAATATAGCTTTTTTCCAGCCTTGGGCCCTCCATATGTTTTGGAACCCAGCCTCCATCATGCTGGCTGTGGGATGCTGGGAACTGTATTCCAACATGGATAAAGGGCATCAGATTGGGGAAGGCTGGGATAACACATTTTCTATGTTAAAACTATTGTCTTCTGATACTTTATAACCCTGCCTCCCTATTTCCTGAAAGCATTATATTACATCTAGCTGCAAAGAATTCTCCACATTTTGCTATGTCATGGTAATGCATTAAATTTAGCTGTGAAATATTGTAAAATCAACAGCAATAAAGGGATGGCCATAGCTTAGTTACAGAGTATGGGAGATGCAGATTTAAGCAATAAAGCCCAGCTGTTATCATTACCACCTCTGCTTCATTGTTTGTAACACACCTGTGTGGAAATTATCAGCAATGTAATACTAGATTTGTAATACTAATCTACAGCTTACCACTGTTGTCTTTTCTTAGAACCCACCAGAGCTCCATCCAGCATCTTTGCAAAAAGCCTTTCTGCTTCAGAGGTAGACGTATTTTGGTCCTTGCTGCCAGAAACTCAGAGCAAAGGAAGGATACAGGGCTATGAGGTAGGAACACAGGCAGTATCATCAGCTTGGAACTATCTGCTCCATTCAGCACCCTTATTGCTTATACTGTTTATTACTACATTTCTTCTGAAATAGTGTTATGGTCATGAAATCTCTGGTAAAACTGAGAAACTGAAAACACTAATCCATTTGCTGCCAATGAGCTTGAACGTGTGGTTGTAATTCTTACTGCATCAATGCATGTCTGTAAAACACATTTTTTAAAAAAATCAGCTGTTTGTCCCAGACAGAAAATAGAATACAAAATACACAGCCACGGGCAAAGCTACATGCTGTATCTTGCATTTAAAATGTGAGTTTTCTCTGTCTCTCTCTCACACACATATGCACAGTATCTCACTCAAAAAAAAAAAGATTTTTTTAATTAAGGAATTGTCCTTTCCTGTTGGCTTACAGAGGCCACAGTATTCTGCAATCAAAGCAGTTAAGTAGAATGTTAAGGGTTATAAACCTCCCTTTCATAAAGACTCCCACAGTGTTCAGATGTGCTAATCTCTGGTTTCATTCATGGAAGGACTATTCTGAATGGCTGTGACCTCCAGACATGGAGAGAGTGGGAAGATCTGTGGATGGTTTTGCTAAAGCAAAACTCGTTGAAAGATTATATCTTCCAAGACAGAAGTCACCTTAAGTTTTGGGTTTTTTAAATAGTAAAAGACATATCAAGGCATATTGAAAGGTTTGTGCCTTACTTTACGTCTAGTAGAAAGCTTGTGCTTGTGATTCAGAAAGACTCGTAACACCTCAGATCAGCCCTAATTTTAACCAGTGTTGCTGAGACCAATTACATCATGGTCTGCAAGGTGTCACAAGAGTATGAAGGTCAAAATACTGCCAGCATCAGGAAATGTGAAATAACAGAAGCCCTGGTACCTTATTGGACCAAAGCAGGCTTCACCCGCGGAGTGGTCTGTTTGTTATTTAGACAGAAAATAAAATAAAATAAAATAGTACAAACAATGAAAAACAATGAAATGGAATTCTGGATGGTAGAAAACAGAGGTAACTGTTTTGTAAAAATGCAGACACCCATTTGGTCCTAAAAGACTTGTCCAAAAGGGACAAAATCCTGTTGGGGTCTCTGGAGCACAGAGCTTCCACAGATGCTGTCTGGCAGTGGCACAGAAGCTAGTGATCACCTTCATGCTGATGGGGTTTTCCACTTGTGTAAGTGGGCAGTGAATACCCCTTTTACACAAATGGTGAACCATGTTCAAAATGTGCTATTTACATATGGGGTCAAAAGAAGCAGACTTCCAGTCATAATTCTTATAGACGAGGCTCTCTCTCTCAAGTGGCCTCTTCAGTTTGGTATGCATTTGGTTTATATCTTACCTATCTCCCAGCTAACAATAAAATTGAACAAAAGAAAGAAATAAAGCAATTCTATTTAAATAAGACTAGATGAATAAATTTAATTTGTGCAGGTTAGATATTGGAAACATGGAGATAAGGAAGAACAGGCTGGAAAAATGAAAACCATGACCAATCAGACGTTTGCAAAAATCACCAACCTGAAGGGCAATACTTTGTATCACATGGCAGTCAAGCCCTACAACACGGCAGGGATGGGGCCTTCAAGTGCTATAGTCAATGTGACCACCAAAAAGCCACGTGAGTATATGTGACATATGCTACTATTTCCCAGTGTCTCTATAAAAATGGTAGCTATAAACTCCTTACTTTATTAATCAAGGTGTAGAAAATGGAAACTCCAGCTCCTGAGGAAACAAATATTTTGCTTTGGTGCAGAGCATCCTTTTCCAAGTCACCGATGTACCGAATTACCATTCATTTGCCTTTTGCATGTATTTGCACTTCATCAAGTCATATCTGACTCTGACTATCCATATTTGTCCAACTGTTCATTTACTTACCAAATATAAGAGTTCCAGTTTCCTCAGACATGATATAGTTCAGAGGAAATATTAGCATTTCAAAAAGGAAAAGCTTGCTAATTAGTAACATCAGTTTCCTATCTTTTGAACTTAGCACCGAGTCAACCTCCTGGAAATATTATATGGAATTCATCTGACTCCAAGATTATACTGAACTGGGATCAAGTGAAAGCGCAGAATAATGAATCTGAGGTGAAAGGATACAAAGTAGGTAATGGGCAGCAAATAATTCAGTCATCTGTCATTGTTGTAAGACACACAGAGCTGCCACAGTACTGAACTGACTAATCACCAGGTTAATTAAGCATGAAAATGTAAATTGAGTGGGATCTGAAACTGAGTTGAACAGTTCACTTGGCTTTCTAATCTACTGTTAAAGCCAGTGGCCTAAATCTAACTGCTAGTCCCAAACAGAGCAGACTCATGGAATCTTGCTAAATGGTTAGACAACATTTATGTACTGTACATCTCCTTCTATGCTTTATAGCATAGCAAAGGTGCTAAATGGTTAGACAACATTTATGTACTATACATCTCCTTCTATGCTTTATAGACTACAACAAAGCCTTTGACTGTGTAGATTATAAGAAATTATGGGCTGTTCTGAAAGAAACGGGTGTGCCTCAGCACTTGATTGTCCTGATGTGCAACTTGTATTGTGGACAAGAAGCTACGTTAGGACAGAATATGGAGAGAAAGAATGGTTTCCTATACGTCAAGGTGTCAGACAAGAGGGCATAAAATGTTCAGTCTGTAAACAGAACATATTGTAATGAAAGACAGACTAGATTCAGATGAAAGAGGAGTGAAAAATGGTGGAAGAAACTTCCATGATTTAAAATATGCAGATGATGAGGAGTGAAAAATGGTGGAAGAAACATCCATGATTTAAAATATGCAGATGATACCATCCTACTGGCAGAAAGCAGCAATGACTTAAAATGACTTCGTGAATATGAAAGAAGTGCCAAAACAGAAGTTCAGTTAAACGTTAGAAAACAAAAATCATGATTTCAAAAGAACTACACAACTTTAGGAAGGAATCAAAATGGAGACTGCAACCAAAAAATCAGAAGATGACTGAGACTCAGAAGAGCTGTCGGAATCCGGCTCTGACAGCCTGTGGTGATGGGAGAGATCCCTGAAAGGTTCCGGAGGGAGAGACCTCTGAAATAAGGGAGATTGCAGTCAAATTGTCT